TTGCGTGCGACTGGAAACGTGGGTTCGGGCTATTTCCGGAGACACCAGAGAAATTGGCTGCTGTCGAATTCCGCGAAAGTCAGGGAAGGTCCCTAACGACGACCCGGGCGACGAGATGTCCGTGGTTCAGAGACCTGCGAGTGGAGGTGTCGGAGAGTTGGCAGGAGGAATAACTGTTTGTGTCGGAGTGTTGAGTGAAGATTCTGCTCGCAGCCACGCGTCACGTGCGCGCCTTTTTGCTTCCCCCCTCTCATGCGTCCTGTGACGAATTCTATATAATTCGACGCGTTATCGACAGTCCTGCAACGGAGTGACGCGGCTGCTCCTCCCGTTCGGTATCGGGAAGTCAAAACCTCGCAGGGAACCCATTTGTCAGGGTAACGACCCATGAAATCGTATTCTCGTACTCCGGGCCTTTTTCGTCGCGGAGTAACGTTCACGAGAATCGGAAATTGAGGGGCGCGAGACGACTGTCGGACAAAGCCGCGTGTTTCGCATGCCGTTTGCTGACGCAACGGGCTTGTTTGCCGCATGAAAAATGCGAGGGAAAGCTGGAATCGCCATTTCCTGGATCGGGAAAGCTCAGTAATTCTCGCGAGAAATGATTTCCCCGTTGTTCGAATTTCACTCAGAAAAAAAGAAAGAACCCCACGTCAAAAAACCGTACAAGTACGGATATCGTGTGACGCGGAAACCTCCCGGAGAATGGAGTGCAACGTGTCAAAAATATGAAAAATAACTAACAATAACTTAAATTTAAACATGTTTCTAGTCTGCTTGAAATATTCTGATCGATTTCATGGATTCACACTTCGTTACATTTTTATACAGTATAGCGATGCAAAGAATTCCTCGATTGATTTGAAATGAAAAACCTGATTTAAGTTTTCCAATAATTTTTTATTGTTAGTTTTTCCACGCCTAATTTCATAACAATCTTCACTACTCTACGCAGTATTTTTGGAGGTGCTGTACAATTTGGTTATTCAATGTTCTTGGCTTTGGACTTTCATTTTTATTTTTCTTAGTTCTTCATGTACAGTTCAAGAAACCTGAAACTGAGCTCAAGAGCCGAACCTGTATGAAATTTTCACTTTTCATTTCCTGAAAGGTCTTTACTTGGTGTACAAGCTATGATGCTGTTCAGCTCAATTATTGGTCAACACACTTTGAAAATGAATACTGTAATTCAATGATTTTGGATTTGTTTTCGATTTGTCGCCTTGGCATAGCTGCGATATTTCCTTCCTGTGTGATTTACTCCCGCACCCGTGCGAACTGATGCGCATTGCTCCGAGCTTCCGGTTGCGAGAGAAAAATATAACAGGGAAACAAACTTCGATCCACGTTACAGGAGAAATCTCTCGTCGTTTCGGAATCGGAGCAGTGTATTAGGTCCTAATGGCTATTGACGATTTGTGTTTCTTTCCTCCGGCGAATGTCCCCAGGGTTTTCTTTCCCCTGTTGCATGCGAGATGCACGCCATGAGCTTGAATAATCGTCGGGTTTTGATGTCTGCTGGGATGGAGGAATAAGGGGCGTATATCGTGAAGGGAGCGCGGATTTATTCTTCGAACTTATTTTTTTCATTGCGAACAATTGCCTGGCTATTCTTGCCTGTCACGCTCCGCAAATTCCGTATGCAGCGGAATTCACGGCCGCTGAGGGGCTTCGTCGTTGCAGCGGCATTATTAATGGATTCATCTCTCGGCAGAATATGTGCGCTTTGATTTCCTCTTGTTATCATCGTAACGCACATGGCGGTTGACGGGCGAATGAAGGCGACAATCAAGCCTATGTCGTGCATGTCCCTGCGGGTTTAGTTTTTCATTCCGGTCCTCCCGAAAATTCACCCAAGGGGGTTTTTGTCGGCTGCATACGAAATCGAGTGGCGTGATGAGCTGGAACTTCGTCGCCCTGGGTTAGATTTGTTAATCTCCTAGACGCCTCAAGACCCTTCGGTTTATGCGTTGGGTTGTGGATTATGGCTTAGAGCTACTTTCAGGTTTTCCCGGCTGTGCCTCTTGCGTTTTTTCTTTTCGACTTCCATTACTGTCTTTCAACCACCATACCACGCTTTTTTATTTTCATTGAAAAGCTGTACAGTACATACCTGTGGCCGTGAAGCGAACAAGAAAGCTTGATCGACGTCCCAATGGCCCTTGTTACCCGAACTCCAGGGATTACTAGGGTACGCTTTCAATGCGCTGCGTTCGTGCTTTTTATTTTTCGGATTCCAACGTGTTTCTCTCGCGCTTTTGCTAAGACTTGGGAGTCATTTCTATTGAAAGAGCTTCCCTCATAATTGATGGAATGGAATCTTTTGATCGACAGTTTGAGCAGAACGAATTTCTACTTCAGCTGTCATGAATTTTACGTTGACGATTTTCTGAGAGGGTTGCTCCATAATTTACGTCGTTTCGGTGCTTCCATCGATGAATGGAGATGGACGTAATTGTGGCAGGCAGTATTTTTATTGATCAAATCGAGATAAGTGTTTCAGTGTTGTCCACGTTGGTGAAATTGAAAATAAATTTAGCGGACTGTGCATGCCATCACTGTGAGATACTGTAACTCGAGTACAACGTGCTCCTGTGAAAGACCCGCACCTGAAACATGTTCGAATTCATAGACAGAATTCTCCAGAAACCACTCTTTAAGTATATCGAACATTGGACGTGTGTCCAATTTTTCTTTTACTGGATTCAAAGCAGATGAAAATTGTTTCTGAGGGATCATGGTTTTTACCTTTCTCAAATGCATGTTTTATGAATTATTTTGGAAATGGTCCGAGAATTCTTCAATCGTTTTGAATGTCTCAGTGATGCTCATATGGATACTAAGACTATTTAAATGAAATTAGTGTTCTGATTTTTGTAACTTTTGTGTCATCGTCGTTTAGTTTTGAAGGTTTTCCTAAAACTGAATTTTGAGAGCACGAATTCCACGAGTCTCTGCTACAATTGAATGAAAATAATCGAAAAATGAACAGATGCCTCGTCCGCGTCTCTTGATTTGTCCCAAAATGGCTTTAGGAATCGTGGCCGAAGAACTTAATTTCAAGTTACTGACGAAACTTTTGTAACAACTCTTATACGTTGAAAGATCACCGTGGATTTCGCCATAAAAGCGTGATAGGTGATTTCATTGTTCGTCGTCGCTGAAGCGCAATACTGTCCCATTTAAATCCTTTTATCGATATAATGATCTGGAATTTATTCGAAACATTTGCTTTTTTACTTTATAAGATGATCTCGTGCCTCTTCTTCATTTTCCGTGGAACTTGTGTGAACAATCGGTAACGAATCCCACGTAAGGCACCTTTACGAAACTTCCCGAGAAATTCCTGACGGATAAAATGATCGACCGACTGCCGCCTTTGTCGGCCAAAGCACGATTTTGTTGGAGACAAAAATTACGTACGTTGCAAGCCAGATGTACGATAATTCGCATCCACTGTTAATTACCCAATTGGACAGGGTGGAATGTGATCTTAGGAGGCAGCGGATGGCGTGTTCTTAGAACCCGGGCGGGATTATTTTTCGTATCCCTAAGGTCGCATTGTTCCGTGATGGATGGCGATTCTCGGGGCAACGGCGTTAATGCTGTGAAATCGTGCCGGCTTCATATTCTTCAGCGTGGCGCTCGAAGGGTGTCGAGGATTTTCATCGCAGCGCGCGGCCTTGTTTTCGCGCCCGCGGAACACGAACAGTGTGTCGCTGCCCCCAGGGGTGTGCAGTGTTCTTATACTCGGTCTCCGTGATGAATTGATAGCCGGACCGGGATGAGAATCGTGGGGAAATGACTGTGCATAGCTCAATTATAGCACGGCGAACGTTGAGACGATTCCGGATCCGTGCCCGACGCTGCTCGGGGAATTGGTGAAATATGGTCGCACCCAAAGGAATATTCAGCGCGCCCTTTTTTCCTCGTGTCCCTTGTCAATTTCGTCGCTTAATCAGATTCGAGTGCGCGTCCTCTCCGGTCGTGTAGTTGTTAATTCCTTCCATGTATCCCTCCGAGCACATTTTTTTCTTTCCCGGGGATCCAAACTTCGGAGCTTCACCCTGCTTCCCCAAGACCATCGACAAGCCGCTCGTAAATTCGTCCGAGTAAGTACGACCCGCAACGGTGAGCACTCTTGCATACGTGCATAAAATCGTGGGTATCCGTGATTTTCTTGAACTACGAAGTGAAGTTCTTTGCTCAGTGGTTACCGAGTCGTCATATGTACTGTACTATCATTCTAATCGTGGAAAGTTCGAGTGTTCGACTTCATTTGCGCGTTTGTCAGCGAGACGAATAGCTTTTCTACGCATGGCGCCTCTCTCACAGTCACGCTAGCAGAGGTGGAAAGATGGACTGATTTTTCTCTACGACACTCGCGAAAAGATTTTTTTGTACAAATTTAAAAAGCCGTTTTAAAGGGGTGTCTACTGTACCGTAATTGAAAGCCGAAGAAAAATTTTGATTCACGAAGGCGGGTGTAGTTTCATGCGAGAGCGATGTGATGAGAATAAGGACACCTGTATCAGATTCCAGTTAATTCTGTGACAATGAGATCCCACGATTGCATTCGATAAGTACGGTAAGTTTTTGTGGATTTTTTCTACACTTAGATTAAAATAACTGAACGCATTCTGGTCCCATTCTAAAAGACTGGTCCTACTCTAAAAGACGTCGGCTTCAAAGACTGAATTTTTGAACGAAATTGAAATACTGTACCTGACAATGTTTCCCTTCGTTAGCATGGTTTTTTTTTTCGAACATTTGGTGAAAAGGTTTAAGGTATTTTTTTCAAAATTGGCTCTAAAGATGAAGTTGCGTGGAAAATTACTAGTTTTTAATTTTGACCTTGCGCAATTATATGAAAGACGGAAGTGGTGAAGTTTACGCTGAGAGACGGTGTTTCAGGTGTCGACAGTGAATTTCTGCTATTTCAGTGTGAAGTGTACGCGAGTGACCTCGTCAGACGTTGGATTGTGTTTTTACCATGTCATTCGTTTTATTGCAGACGGAACTGTTTGTTTTGTAGCCTACCAAGGCTCGGCCCGCGATTGGCCATGTCGACGAAGTGATTCGCGGAGTGTCGCAAACATTACAAGGACCGATTTATTTTGTTTTTTGTTTCGGTTTCGCCGTCGTGCCAGCCACAATGCTGTCGCACGTCTTTTCGCCCGTGCTCGTCGTCTTCGTCATGACCCTCAGCTACGCCTGGGAGGATCTCATCCTCCCGCGGGTCCACGTTCCTTATGGTGAGTTTGCCGTTTTTTTCTCTTTATCATTATTTCTTTTAGTTTTGCATCGAACGCGAACCGTTGTTTTGCCGTGTTCCCTGGCTTCGACGTGGAATTCAATCAGTTTTCTTTCCCGCGGACGAGGTCCTGGTGTGCCCGATGTTGTTTTCTTTCTGCAAGTGCTGTTGAAGTCGAATGAGGGCTGAAATGAATCGGTCATGCTCCGGTAACATCAGCACGTTTGATAGAAAACGTGCATCGTCTTCGAACCGTGATGATGCATATTCCGAGTCCCGGTCGCGCTTCGATGTTCTTATTTTTTATGCATGGGTTAATTAATTCAATGTACGGTAGAGGGAGGAATCGGCGGAGCGCGAAAGTTTTGCCGTATTTTCCGGTAATTAACCGTATTACTGAGAGGCTGATGGCCCTGACTGCGATAAGATTGTCGTGAACGGAAGCGAAAAAGCTCACCTGAATTGAGAGAATCCGGTTCGGAGTTTGGAGAAGTCATAGCAAAATCAAGAACTTGAGAACTCTCTGATAACTTTGCCGTGATAATTAATTATGACAAATATTTGGATGTGACAAATGTAGTCTGCACATCGAGAAAAAGGAATGATAGCCGGACATAACATCACTGAGATATGCGATTCAGTTGTTCTGAGGCGAATGAAGCTCAAGTTTAGCTTCAATTGAACAAATTCAACGTCTGGTTAAACGAAGGTCGAACTTGTTTTTTATAGCGTTACGAATCAAGTGTGTTCATAGCTTTACTGAAAAGATTTTGTGTGTGTCAGGAAATGGAGATTAAGGTTTTGTTGGCGGACGTTCACCTTTTGGAACCGAGACGTTATGATTTGTGTCGTACAGCGAATAGATACAAATGATTATCCCGTAGTAAAATATTCACCTTTATATTTTCCTCAAAACTTGAATTTTGTCTTGCATTCTTTCCGTGGGGTGTAATTGAGGAAAACCGTTACTTGGCAAGATATTTTGTGTCAGTACTTGAGCATCGAATGGAACCCCTGGATGGGGGAACAACAAAGAGCATTTAATGAGGATTTTGTCAAACCTGTTCGAATCTCGACATTTTGGCATTATTCCTGGCTGTGGAACGTAATTAGCGCGAGAGACATCGCATTGTACTTGGTGCCGGAGAACTCTGCATTACCTGACCTTTCTGTATAGTTTAAATATTTAATTGTATCATGCTTGCAAATTGTGATTTTTCAGACGACATTTCAAAGGTTGGAACAGTTTTGCGATCACGTTTTGGCGGCGTTCTGTTTCTGTCTGAGGAAAGTAAGTACACCGAAAGTTTCAAAGAGGAGCCCTCGATAACATTTTTTTTTTCGTCCCGCGGAATTTGTTGTTCAACATGTGCAGAGTCTTCTTCGACTTCAGGGCTTAAACTCGATTTACGACTGTCCAAAGTTTAAGGTAATAATTTTATTTAAATTGCTCCACATGTAATCCCAATGCAACATTTTTTTATTCTTCACCTAATGCCTTTTGCAGATGGTTTAACTCGAGTCATGAATATGATGCTGCATACGAATCCACGTAGGACGCTGAGTTTTTCAGTGAAATTATGCGCATCACTCATCAATGGCCTCACGCTTTATTCTGGATGGCTTTACCGCCCTTCTAAATGAAACGGAATCCTACCGATTTGAAATTGATACGCTAAATGTAAAACACGAAGTCCATAGGGCAGCAATAAAAATGCAAGCATGTTACCCTGGAATATTTCATCTTGGTTGCTTTATGTACTCGTTACTTTTCCCCTCTCACCGTTCGGTCACTCGGTCATTCCGAGTTGGTCGATTTTTGCACTCTCGGTGCTGTGGTGGTGCTCGGGGCATCGTGAAGCCGACCACAAGTCGAACTCTACGTGCGAAACTGGGACTTCGGGAAGTGCAGGGAAAGTTTCTCACCGTTTCCGAACGCATTCCGCGGGTTTTAAAAGCCGCGTCGATCTGTGCGGTCGACACAGGGGTACGGGAACTCGAGGCTGGTCGATGTTCGGTCTAATTGCCTGTCAGAATTCTTGGGGAGCCCTTGGGCTTGTTGTGCGGCTGGAAGAAATTGGATTGCATGCCGTGTTGATGGGGGTTCGAGAGGAAGCATGGGTTTTTAGGCCCTCTGCGTAGACGACCCGTGATAGACGAAGCATGTCCGTGCTTTTCATGCCGAGTGCCTGATTGTCACTTGGCGCCGTTTCACGGGCATTTGGCTTTTGTTGACGTGTCAGTGGTACCTGCAGGAACGTGACCGCTTCAGAGCATCCCCGGATTATGCTCCGAGGAATTGTCGGTGGGAATGACCTGGAAGCCGGGGAATCTCAACCGTCGCACTTCGTGTTTCCTACAGGGATCGATCTCGCCGCCGGGGGTTTTGGGAACTGCTGCAACAACCGGATTACTGCCGAAAGAATCAGCATTTTTGTGTTGATCGATGGCGCAGGGGAAGATTGATTATTTCCTGGGAATTCTGGCCCGTCGCTGTTGAAAAATTCCCGATTTCTCTGCGCTTGGGGAGATCATTTGAGACTTGAGGAAGGTGGGAGCACGGTTTATGATCGCGTGGAAAAACTCGCTCTCTGGACGTGGAACCCGATTGATTTCCAATTTTTTTTCCAAGTCGTGTTCCTGCTCTCCGAACGACGTCCCATCCCGTACCCACTGCTCGGGCTTCCATTCGGGAAAGTGACCGTGACGAATGAAATATCCGGTGCTTGTAATGCATTATGTTGAATTTCTCTTCATCACTTACCGTCTCCCTCGTGCCAAGAGGAAAGCATCCAGGGAAAATCATTAATAAAAAATCGTCCTCTTTTGCATTGTTTTGTTGGATGAATGTAATATGGATATTTTTCTTACGAGTTCGGCATATACTGCAGTACATGAAGTATATCTCTTTGACTATCTTAATGTGTCGGGTCAGGAATTCCACTTGAAATCTGTGAAACTGTGTGAACTTTTGAAGCACCCGCTGTCTCTTGGGTGCTTTTCGGTGGGGCCGTTTCTCTTGGATGATCTTCGTCGAGACGCTTTTTTCACCGTCACCGTCTCTCAGTTGCTCCCCTAGCGCACCCCACTTTTCTGTCCTGCGTGTTTGACGATTCTAATTTTTTTTTATTTCAACTTCGTTCGATTCAAATTTGATTAGTCAGGCTGTGCGGGTGATTCGAGGGGTTTTTTCTGCTTGACTCTCGTGGGAACTGTTGTTCGACGACGTTTTTTGAGCTTAAAAAAAAAGAAGAAAAAAGAATCGGGACGTTGTGTTTGCATCGCGGGTTATGGTGGGGAGAGAATCTACCCGCATCCCGCATAAATATTCATCGCGAGAGTCAAAATTGGGAGCAGAAAATCCAGGTTTCCCTTCGGTTGGAAATCCGAAACCAAGAGGAATGAGAGCGAGGGCCACGGACGAATCGAGTGCGGGACGGGGACGTTACCGTTCGATCTGCATGTTTTGCCGCTTTTCATAGCTGGAACGCACTGGTCGAAAAGGGGGAAAAAGGGAAGAAAAGAAGTAGATCTGTGTTGCCCTGAAGGGGTTGACTCTGGCGTTGTGTTTGGGTCCTGGCAAAGGCTCTCGGGGGACCCGGAGCAAGCGCCTTCATCGCATTCATTATTCATACGGGCCGTGCCAGCCACGCGTTTGTTCTTTTCGCGATTCCCCACTGTTGTCGCGAGGGTTTCTTCTTTCGGCACAAGAAGAGACGGGAGTTCCTCGACGAGAGCTCATTTCACGAATCCCGGCCGAAAATGCTTGGGCGAATTTTCTTCAGATGTTCGAGGTGTGTCACGAGAAAAACAACCAGACGAAACGCAATGAGGAGAAAACCACCTTGACTTATTGTTTTGCCGGATCCAGTTGCTCTTTTCGAAAAATACTGTAGGTCATGTTTCTGGTGCATTGCTGGCTTTCGCTATTTTTGGCGTGGTAATGTCTCGAACAACGAAGACAATCAATTCTGATGTGTGGTTCATTGTGAGATATCGGGCACCTTATCGATGAAAGGAGAAAGTTTAATGTGTTCCCGACACGTGAGCTGAAACATATTTATTGTTTACTATCAGGGTCAACAAAAACGTGGTTCGTTAAAGATATGCCTAATTTCAAATGGTGTTCCAATTTCTTTAATTTCTTTCTTTACATGTCACTATGAGAAAAGTGAAATTACAATTTAAAACATTATTCATGAAGATGCCGAAAAATCCTATGAATTTCCAAACACAAGGTCCCCGTAATTCAAAGATGAGACGCGATCTCCTTTTTTCGGGATTCCGTTGCTTGAAGTCCTGGGAGGAAACCACCCGTGATGCGTTGTGAGTGATCTCGACTCGCCTTGCGAATAACTAACTAATGTTAGGTTCGTTGTCTGTCGTGTTCGGTACTTGTTATTGAAAGGGAAACATACCTTTTTTACGTCATGTTCGCTCTCTGTACAATGAGCTTCCCAGTACTTAAATTTGACTGGGATTATTACTAATAAGTGGTTGAATATTCATTATGGACGTTGCATTCCTGGTTTGAAAGGTGGTTGTTTTGATCTGCTGTAGTTAACCTATTGTACTGTACTTGATTGAAAGGGAAAGAATTTTCGGAAAAGGAGGTCAAGAGGCAAATTTGATCGTAAAACGAGTAGTTCTGGGTGCTTTTCTCCTTGTTGCATTTCGCGTGGGTGCGTCTCTCCTGCCACTTCTTCAGATGTTGAGTTCGTGCTGTTCCGCGTTCGGAACAGGATCTGCGGCGCTGGATTCAATTCCTCGGACCGCTCGGCATGAATTGAAATAATGCCATTCGGAATCGAGTTTTTCCTCGCCGAGATATTTCGAGTTCCGGTCGGAAATTGAATTCGGAACTCCAGGGGTTGAGCGAAGATGATGGCAAGGGCAACGACGACGAAAGGAAGGAGTTTGGCCACTCGTTGCCAGGCGGGACTGTTTTTTACCCGAGAATACGGCTTCTGAAAATAGGATTCTCCGGTGCCGACAGGAAAG